CAACGATCGACCGTAAATCTACGAGCGAGCTTGCGGTGCGTTCCTCGTCGGTGAGAGCGTAATAGTCGGTAGCGTGCGACAGCGGTGCGCTAAAATTTATTCGGTTGTCGTCGCTCGCCGCGAGTTTGGCTGCGTGTGCCGCCGATGCGTACACACGCAGGTACACGGGAAAGGTACGCGCGAATCACGCTGGAATGCGGACCGGCCAAATTCCATGTACCGCGTCGACAGATAGATCGTGATAATGCATTCAATGACGACACAGGATTGTCGCGTCACCTTCGATTATCGCACGGAACACCATGATAAGGAACGGTGATGTGTTTCGCGATCGGTGTCGCCGGCACCTTATCGACGACAGAATTCCACGTGTCGTGACTCACAATCAGCCGCAATGACACTTACACCATGCGGTGTGCATTACGTTCTCATGTCTCGCGCACTGAGACAAAAATGTTTGGTATTTGTGCATTGAGACGAAAAAATGGTTGAGTCAATGAGACAGAATTCGTTCAAACAAAGGTTTAATCGATTGAACAAATTGTATAGTTGCTGTGATGAATATGTGTATGTATAAATTAGTGTGTATGTATAAATTAGTCGTAGTTATGCAAGAATAATTCAACGCGCAAAATTATTGATTTTTTAATTTTTGTTATCGATCCACACGTATTTCTACATAAAAGGATCCAATTGATTTGATCAGGAACTATATCAAACGCAATTTATTGTCGCACTAACGTATAATTTGTTCAATATATATATTTATTTGAAGAGGGGTGACCGCCGATTTTGTCAATCCAACTGCTTTTTTTCCCAGTGTAATTATAATCACATAGAGAAATGATTACTATAAATTATGGTCAAACAACTATTTTTTATTAAATTCTACCATAATATTAATAATAATAACCTTATATGTATATAATAATAATAACCTTATATGTATGTTTGCCTACTATTATTTGCATGTCAGAATCGAAATATATGATCGGGTCCAAAAGTAACTATAATATTAGTTAAATTAACCATTTTTTCCCTCAGTGCGGCGATAATCTGAAATCACAACTTTAATCGATTACACATCATCGCTCGCCTTTATCGATACGCGGACTGCCTACTGGAAGCGATTGAACGATGGGGCGCCAGTATTTCGATGATTAACAGAAGGAGGACGCCGATGATTCACGACAACGGGCGCTGATCGCTACGGTGGGAACGAACGACTCCGTCGCTCTTCGCCGTTGAATACCGTACGTCATCGGATCGTCGGGGGATCGGACCCATTTTCTGGGTCTGTCTCGTCTCGGAGACACGGACGTAGCCAGGCCGACCTCGGCATTTCGCTTGGAATTAATTCGCAACGAGTGAGGAAACATGTTGCGCGATTGCACTGCGAGCGCGTTTCTAACCGAGTCACCTTGCCCGATCTCGAGACGAACCCTTGAGGACCCACAGCTTTTCTCCGTTGCTCGGTGGCTATCGATGCAACCGTGTTTCGTTCGCTCCGAACGGTGAACGCGCGCACGCGTGAAGTCCCGTCCATTACGGTACGTGAGAAGGCGTGTTTCCACCGTGTGAGAGGCGTCGCGACTTCTAGACGGGGACCAATCGATGATTTCTCGAGAGTCATTAACTCACATAACGAATGATGCCAACAGCGCCGATGTTGATACCGCCATGTTGCTGTATATGGCGCCTGCATGCCTCGTATTTACTCTCTTAAGATGAATCGGTAAAATTGTTTCTGACTGAATCAGTAAAAGAAGTGTTTCATCGATAATCAGTGAATACACTGCAAAATGAAGCGTGTTCAAACAACACATTAACATGTTCTCACGTTCGTGCTATATTGGCAGTTTAGGTTAACGTACATATGTGTAATCCTCAACCGCTTAATCTAACCTCAAGTATCGTCTCTTCAACATTTTGAAGTTAGATCAAACGATGTAAATACACATACGTGTGTTAACTTAAATTGTCAGTATAGCGTGTTGAAAGTGGGTGTTAAGGTGTTGTTTTAACATACTTCAGTGTCACATCACTTTGCAATGTATTCACTGGTTTTCAAGAAAAACATTTTACTGATTCATCTTGTATCTTACTAATTTCGATTAGTGGAAGTAAAGTTTCAGTTCAAAATCTGTATAAGGCCGCAAAACGGTTTAGACATAATGAACATCAGAATGTAGCTAATAGTCCAATAAGAAAACGAATTAGTCAAAAATAAGTTCTCTCATTGGACCATCGGCCCATTCGACCATCGACACTCTGGCTCAAGTTCATTGTACCTAAGTATGGTTGACCAACGCATAAATCTGATTGTTCAGATTAATAGTAAAATACAGAACAACTAATTATATGGTTGCTACAACTATAGAACAATTGCCGAGTTATTAGCGTTGCAGTAGTGACGATATCTGGTCGCTCTAACTAGAGTGTATCTATAATAAATATCATTCTAACCACTCTCTGATCACCAGATCACATGCAATTACACTGATATAGTTGATATATCAAAGTGGCTGAGTCGTATTAATCATAGGGAAGACCAGGGTTAGATGCTCCATATTTCAGAATTTTGTAGCTACAACTTCCTAGTCTCAACTAATTATTGTCTATGACTATACAAGTATGATAGAGGTAGCCTTCTTTTATGTGTTAATATCAGCCACAATCCATATTTTGTTTTGTAATAAAGTACAAACATGCAGCAATATAATCGGATTTCAGCTTAGTATCGAGTTTAATTGCTCAGCGCAGGATAAGAAGGGCATATATAAAATATATATTTTGATTAGTAATTCTAAGTCTTCCCTGGAACTGTCTAGACCCGAATTCCTCTATTTTAAAGAATATCAACACTTATGATCTTACAGACGGCAGGATCATCCACATTCGAACAATGATTTAGACGATGAACAGAATTATCATTCGCAAAATCTATTACGTTAATTTGTGTATTTAACCTCTTAGCTACGGCAGGATCTTCCGCGGAACTGTATCTCTGTACGGCAAAGTTCAACGCGGACTGCATGAAAACAATACAACACTGCGATTTGTGTCTGATAATGCTTTTCACTACTCAAGTACATTAGAATACAGTTTTAGATGAATTAATTATAATTTATTAGAAATAAGCATGAGCCACTATAGTGGCGTACCGTTCAGAAAGATGATATACGCGAAAGCCACTACAGTGGCGTACTGTTCAAAAAGATGACATACGGGAAAGCCACTATAGTGGCATACAGTATCTAAGAGGTTAATGAGTAGTAGTTTGATGAGCTGTCCGAGTGAGTAATTAGATAAAGGACGATAATAGTACAAAGATAATAGTACAGAGAGAGAGAGAAAGGAGGAGGTAGATGAAGAGAAAAGATAACTTCTCGCGCAGGTGATATTTGCTTTGAGTGCATTTCGTTCGATAGGTCAATAACACGTTGTAGACGTGGACACGTAATCATCGGGTTAGTGGCAAACGTGCATGAGATAAGATATCGATTCGCAGCATCGTCGTGGTCGAATGACGAAATAGCTCTTTCGTACCTCTTTTACGCGAAACATTTTTGCTCTCGCGTTGGTTTTATCGGCAAATGTTAAATATCGGATCCAGTCAGTCACGAAGTGTCGTCGCGAGCGCGTCGTATTCCCGAGCGATTCACGGTTGCGACTTGATGTCGCTTGCGATTTTCGCGCACGAGGATTTATCGAGGAGGAGTCGAGTGCCCCGAAGCGATTATGCAAAGACTTCGCGGCTTTAGGATCGGATGTTAATCGTTCCCTCGGAACTGGTTTGGCGTGACGAGCTGCTTTGGTGTATAAATTCGCACGGGGAATTTTGCTACGCGAAAGGTGAGAGAATGCACAGTAGATCCAGATCGTAATAAGAAAGAAATGTGGCACCTTGCAAAAATTGATGTAATTCAAATAAGAAAAATTTTTATCTGACGTTTGCAATTGAGATGTTGAAACGTTCTCGCGTCCAGCGCAACTTTCTTTTTAGGTTCATATTCTTTTAAAGTGAATCAATAAAATTGTTTCTAATTGAAAATAAACAGAGTATTTCATCGACGATCAATAAATATTCACTAATTTTTAGTGTAAACTCTCTCACTTTTCTGTTTTGTCTTTTATTTTTTTTATTTTGACCACATTGAGAGAAAAATATTAAAAATCAATATTTATTCGCGATGGATACTAACATATTTACTTATACTAATATTAAGATAGTTTTCAAATAAGATTTTAAAACCTGTTAAAAAGTTTTTAGCTTCTTATAAAAACAATTGTTTATTCTATTCTATTTAAATAAAGGAATTTAGATATAAGTAAATATGTTAAAAATATCCGCCAAATAAATATTTATTATTACTTTGATATTTTTTCTGTCAGTGCAGTAGAGACAAGATTTCAGTGCAAAATCTGTAGTATACAAATTCTTTGACTGCTGATCAAATTCAACCTTCTTCGTTTGTGCCAAAGGAATTAACGACTTTAATGCAGCTTGCGTGTGATAACATCGTTTGTAAATTGCAACAATAATGAGAACAACAGTCACTATTAGCTAATTTTTTCGGTCAGATCTTACTGACTGCAGTGATATAACTGGATCATAGTTATATGTGCAGCATTTCAGTGAAGAATGCACTGGTTGTACTTACAGAGAGTAACATATCGCGATGTAATTAATTCTTATCTCTATAATTTCTTATCTTACTTAGTATTAGACAAAGGTAATCGCAACGGATGTGCCTTTAGACAACGGCGGGACATCACGAAATCTATTTAATAATACAGAAACCGAGGATCCGAATGGATCACCGTGATAAAAACTACTGCAGATGTGCGATCGATAGCGCATGACGTAATCGCGACATGAAAATAATTGATCAAGCGTCGATAACAATTCGGACGGGACGATGATTCGACGATTATTACATCGTGATTAGCAGTAAAAGTAATAACGTTTCATTAATATATGTGACGCTTGTTGACAGATCGGCGCGGTAGCCATGTCATCGCCGGTTCGGCACGGCGGATCACGAGAAATCGGCGTGGAGCCGGGAGAGAAGAGTCATCATCATCGGCCCGGTGCACTTAAGGTCGAGTGACGTCGACAGCCGAGAAAATCGGTAGCTGAAGGATCGATATAAGCGGATCGATCCACCACATCGCAATCGACGGCCTCCTTGCTGGCCTGGCCAGCTACTATGCGAATTGAAGCTCTCAGCACCCTCGTCGCGGTAAGTTTCAACTCTTAACCCTTTAACTACGAAAGGCATATCTATATACGCTTCTAGAAAGTAACCGTTTACTCACGCAAGGTGTATACATACGCCCTCGCGTGTCCATTATATCCACAGAGAAGATATTGTAGTAAAAATTATAACAAAATTTTTGTAATCTTGAGAATCATACAGAATTATGATTGAAATTATTATATATTTGTATACATTCTCCAAATTTCTTGGAGTGAAATTTCATTTGAAAAGTAAAGTGGCCGAATCATTCAAGTGACTCATATAGATTGAATTTTCCATTATGAATATTTTTATTCGAAATTGAAGAATGAATCTTATGTATTCCACCATCAGAGGGATATATTCAATCTAATTGATTGAAATATTTGTGAAATATTTGTGAAATATTTTCACATGAAGAGAGAATTTACTCTCTAAATTTCCTGGAGTGGAATATTACCTAAAACGTGTGAAGGATGACAGTAATTTTATTCGAGGCAGTAGTGAAAATTTCGATTCTAGGTAAAGAACCCATGTTTGGAACAAAAATGGGATTCGTAATTGATATCGTAGTGGAATTTGTAAAATAATTTGGATACAAACTTGGATATCCCAGTCAAAATTTATGCTGCATCTGGGAAAATCTTAAGAAATATTTCTATGCGGGTTCTTTAGTAGTCACAGTATAGTCCAAAATATTGTAAAATAAAATATAATTATAACGGAATTTTTACTACAATATGTTCTCCGTATACGTAAAGCCCAATAGATTTTGCTCAAAATAAAAATATACGCCCAATAGATTTTGCTCAAAATAATACGGTATTACTTATTAAAAGAGTTATATTATTTTTATTATTGTGTCAAACGCATTTTATCATTAATGTCGAGCCTGATTACTCCTTAACTCATTCGCAAGCACCTGTCATAAATACACATTTCTGATTTTAACGACATGCCACAACGACTGACGCGCGAGTATGATCGCGTACACAAAGCATATAGTTCTCTGTTAGAACGCGCCAAAGGGTTAAAGATTGCGCACATCGATCTGTGACTCACACACGAATTCATGCGCGATATATTTGACCTGTCTCTCAAAGTTCTCATCTTCTCGAAGCGAATGGGAACGAGCGTCTAGACCGTGATATGCTGTCTATTGACATGTTAAAAGCTATGCAGGCGACCTATACTAAACATATTGACACGTCTCATAGGTTTACGTACAAAGAATAAAATGCACACTGAGGGAAAAATTACCTTAAAATCCACAAATATTTCTTTGATGGGTGCCATGAACATATTTATTTAAATCTAAATTCTCTTTATTTAATTCTTTTTATTAAATATTGTTTGCTTAAATCAGGTAAACAATATTTGATTTAAATAAAGAGAATTCAGATTTAAGTAAATTTAATGTTAATGGTACCCATAAAAAAAATATTTGTTGATTTTAAGATAATTTTTCCCTTAGTGCATTTAGGATAATTATATACGCCGCGACGTTGCAAGATCGTTTAAGAAAGATAACGAATACATTTGTTGAAAACTACACTCATCGATCGAACGTATTATGGATTACGTGATTTCGAATCGAGACTCTGTAAAATTACGAATTAACTTACGAAATTAGAAGTACAAGAATGAATTGAAGAATGAATTGAAATCTCTTGGTATTCAACGGTAGCCGGGTATCCACTGATAAATTCCTACATATGTGCCCGTTGCATGGCAGAGTGCTTAAGGATACCGGCAATTACGGTGCACGAGCCCGCATACGATTGATGCAACGATCGACGGTGCATGCGCACTCATGTTGCGTCGCATTGTGCCGTGCGAGCATGCAGCGAAACAATAATTACGATATCCAGCACGATGTAACGATCGTAAAGTACCCCCCGTCGTGTTATTAGCATATTATCGAGATAGCGACGTGCACACATACGCGCGCACAATCACGCATCGCCGATAGAGCCATAGATTTCACGTTTTCCTCCCAATCCCCGTCACGAGAACGTCGATAAACTTTCGAGATTATAGCACGGGTCGTTCTTAGATCATCCCTCTTCCGTTTCTTTCGGCCCGCGGCGCGTCGCGGTTGGACGTCCTTGTCGCGTTTTCCCACGACTGATTTTCGGCATAATTCTCGCTGTTCAGACGGGTGGACTCGCGATGAGACGTGCGAGAACCGCGGGTCGCGACGGGATCTCTGTGACAATATTCAAAGTGTGCACTTGAATTGTAACACGGATTTTCAGCAGAGAACAGATGAAACGTGCAGTTGCCGGCTAAAAGAGTAATACGAAATAGATGCGACTTTGCTGGTCGATTGGTTGATTTGAAAACAATGATTATATAAGAAGATTATATCGGCATGTAATAATGAAAATTGCATCGTAAAATGAATCTTATAGAGTGGCAATTAATGTTCGTAAGAGAATGTCACGAGAATGACATTCAAATCGGGGTCGATTGTAGTCCTCTTGCGAGAACGTTGAAAACCACGCAAGGAAATATCATTCTGCTAAGAAAAATGATTACTCAGTTTATTTTCCTTCTTTTAGTAATGGTAGTAAATAATGACTAAGGATAAATACGAAGGATGTTTCTTTGATAATAGTCTCAAAATATATTACAAATTTTAGTAAAGTTTATTATCATATACTCAAAAGAAGAATTTATCCTCTTTACAAAAATATTGTAAAATGCTATCAAAGAAAAAGTTTTTTTATTCTATGTGGTAGCAAACCGATTATTGTTTTAATTTAACATTCAAAAAATATAATCTTGTTCTTAACGGAGTCTTCTTATATGTATATAGACCTCAAAAGGTCTAAGGCAATCTTCTAAAACTGAAAAGAAAAAATCTAACACCCAAAAATGAACTCTAGTTGCAAGGTACTATTTCCTATATTCTTAGCGAAAACTTATACCGAAAGAATGTTTTTTTCTACTGAAGTAGACTATTAATCGGAAATCTACACGCAGAGAATATTATAATTCTTTTTCATGTCAATTTTTTTCAATTTTATTGTGTTTTTAGTAAACCAGAAATAGACTGCCAATACGATCTATCTTACTAAAGAACATTACGCTAGAAACATAGAAGATTTTGCTAAAAACATAGCAAATGTTTTAATATTACCTATTAATTCCTAAAATGTAAATAGCACATATGAAATGCAGAATGTTGATCTATTCCTTGGCTACAAAATTCTACAGTATAATTTTTATCTTAAAATTTAGATAATTTATTAAATAATATTCTAAGTTTTTCCTTTTGAATAAAAAAGAAATACGTAAAACAGAATGCTCTCTTACTAGAAGAAATTTTTATCAAAAACAATATACCGTAGGTAAAAGATATAATTCTTCTAACTTTCAGAATATTGTATTTAAAATATTTTCCTTTGAGTTCTAAAAAAATCCTCTTAGGGCCAGAATGATTCCGCTAAGATGGTATTTTTTGGGTGAATATTCTTGATTGAAACGCTGCACTCAATTTAAAATGTATTTTGAATAAATTTGATGGCTTTTAATAAAGTTACGGTAGATTTGCGGATATATAAACTTATGAAATACTTGAAACAGGTGACATTTGCTTGAATGCAGTGTGCATTTTTCTATGTATACGCCGAGAGAAAGAGGGATAAAGAGAGGAAGGGAGCAACATCCCTATCACCGGTTTCGACGTCGCGCATACCAGCGTTATCTACATAACATTACGTGCCGACGTACGGATACGCCCGATCGGTCCGGCGACGACGATCCCGACATAGTACGCCCGTGATATTGATAAATGATAATCATCGGTGCAGCGCGCGGCCGCTGCACCGATAATTTAATAATGGCAGATTAGCGGCGTACGCACACACGTAGAACGGCGCGCATCGGACCAGCCGCACCGCGGACATTACTATGCTAATCGTCCTACACCGGCGCCGAGGTGCCTCCAATAAATAATCCTCTTAACGCTGTGTTGAACGGGATGCAACCTATGCCGCTACGTGAGCGCGAACGGAGGCGCATCGGAGGCGACACGATCGCCGAATGCCGGATGCTGTTGGCACGCGATGAAGATACCGCCGGCATTTTTGGCGAGTGCACTTTTTTCTCCTCCGTCGATTACCTCGCATCGCGATTAATATTACATCGCCATCGGCGCGTTGTCGTACACGTCGGCGCGTAGTAGCGGAATCTTGAGGTAAAAGGGTTTGATTGACGAAAATAAAATTTGATTAAAATGAGATCAATCAAATGTTTGATAGTTACAACCAAAAAATTTAACTGCAGCTATTTTGCTTACACTGTAAAAATTAATGTTAAATTTAACATTTCATGTGTCCCAAATCATCCATTCTCATTTATGCATAAATTTAACACAAAACAAATGTGGTAAAAAGTACACATGGTAAAACACACATAAAATGTAAAAAATTAATACAAGAATTTAATACTTGAATACCGTCAGGAATCACAGTTTGTGCTAAATTGACATATGTATAATGTTAAATTAACTAAAATAAAACGTTACTTTAACATTTGAGAGACGTATTAATTTATGGTTTTCATGAAATGAAAATGTAAAATTGACATAATCTATGTCTGACATATTAAATATGTCAATTTAACACAACCTGTGATTCCTAACGGTATTCAAGTGTTAAATTCTTGTGTTGATTTTTTCCATATTATGCGTGTTGCTTTTTAATACATTTGTTTTGTGTTAAATTTACACATAAATGAGAGTGGATGATTTGGGACACATAAAATGTGTTAAATTTAACACATTAGTTTTTACAGTGATTAAGTAAACATATTGCCAAAAAAGTAAGGCAAAATAGTGGCGATTAAATTTTTGGTTACAATTACCAAACACTTAATTAATCCCGTTTTGACTAAATTGTTTGGACTGACATACCAGATTTACGTTTCGACAACAAAATCTTTCTTTCAGTGCGAGGAGAAATTACAGCTTGCACTTTTGTTCGTCGTATTTCTTAAATCTTCAACGGAATAGCGCGGTGAAAAAAGAAGATCAGAATGTTTGCGTATACGGTATTAGCATAGGCCACTCACCGATTCGGCGCGGCGCTCAATGCTCCAGGGAGAGACAGACTCATCGTGTGGACGCCTCGCAAGAAAATATTGTCGGATGGACGCCTTCTCCTATTATCGCATGGGCTTGTCGTGCCTGTGGAGCCTGTAATTTAAAACAATTTGGAAATAACATATTATGAATCGCAGTTGGACGCGCAGAGGAGGTGGATCTAGCCGCGTGGCTTTCGCGCGAATGATTTAGTGAGTCGTGGGTGTATTTCGCCGCCGGGACGTTGTTTTCTAATGCTCTCTTTCGGCTTGTATCTCGATAAACAGGATATCAATGGAACGAGAGGGCAGCAAAGGGAAAGAAAGGAATACCAAAACGATCAATGTGTGTCTACGTGGCGTAAAATCGTCGACATTTGTCAAATACACTGAGAGAAAAGATATCTAAAAGATAAATATCTTTTTATATTTATCTAGAAAGATAAATATTTATTTGTACTAATAATATATTTGCTTATACTAATATAAGATATTTTTCAAGCGAGAAAATGTACACCTTTTTACAATCTTAAAAAACCTTAGCTTTTATAGAAAAACTCCCTAGATTAATTGAATCAATGTTCCTACCTTCGAATCGATCGGATTAAGATATCGTGGAAAAGCGCAGATCTACTTATGCACGAAGTGCATTATAAAATAAAAATAAAAAGTGAATCTATTGAGAGAAAAAATAATTGATCTAACTGAAATTATAGTTACTTTTAGTCCGAACTATTTTTTTGTTTTTTGTACCATTTAAAATGGTAGCAATAACATTTATATAAGGTTATTATTACTATTATAGTAGAATTTAATAAAAAACAGCTTTCTCTTGACTATAATTTATAATAATTATTTCTCTATGTGATTGTAGTTACAAATACCAGACTTTTTTTCAGTGTATATACTTAATAGTTCTTATGATTCTAATGATAATCATCTTTCTATTTTTCTATATCAATTGCGTACCACTACTTAGTCCGATCGAAATTAATTGTCGTAAATATCCTTAGTATACGTTTTATCGATTATCGAACTATAAGGTACATTAGAAAATATTTTCATACCTAATTAACATTCCACTCGTTCTTATGACGACACAATCGCGACGTGTCGCATTACCAATAATAGGTCGAGAACAGGTGTCGCAACAGGACATTGGCAGGTACTTCACGGAAACTTACGGACTCATCCCTCAGTCTCCCACCAATCGCGATTTTACGCCGCAGACTCAAGCACGCAGTGGTTTAAAAGAAATTTACGACGCCCTTACGGCTGCATCCCTCTCGCAGAGCGATTCCGCTCCAATCTGTCGGATAGCACTCGCGGCCATCTGCGAAATCTCACGGAGTAGCGCGTAACGAGCGAGTCGTCATTAATTTGCCGTGTCAAGGAGCGTAGGAGAGGAGTGTCCTGCGAGCGAGTGAACGAACGAACGAATGAACGAAGGAAGGAACGAACGAACGAGCGAGCTAGCGGCGCACGCATAACTGTACGTACGATTTACGCACTGTACGCGCCACACGCACGAAAGGCGACTAACCAAATATTTATACACGTCAATCATAACACACGAAGCATTCGCTGTCTAAACAGCCCGCGGGGGCCTTCCGTGCGAGCCACTCGGCCGCGGCCGTTCATTGTGCTGGCATACTGGAGGACCTTTCATTGCTCCTTACTATCTCTAACAGGCACTCGATAGTTGCCGTTTGTCATGCGCTCCACGATGTTTGCCTTTCCACGGCTGAAAAAAATTACATCGCGCTCGACTTGAGCCGCATGTCGCGCGCCGATGTCAATAGCGTTAATCGCTATTGTGCGGCGAGCACCTTCGTCGTATATGCCTCACCGCGCTTACAGAAGGAAAAGAATCAGGTGAACGGTGTACAGGGATGAGTCTCGGTTCGCCGTTGCCGGCGTTCGCCTCGAAGGATGACGAGCTGTCTCGTCGTTGGCGATGTTCGACTGATTCGCGTCGTGTAAAACAATCGGATGCAACGCTTCTCCTGCTATGGTCGCAACGTCGATCAGTCACAATCAGTCTCAATCAATGCTCATCGCAGCGTTAATACATGGCGTGAACTTGTCTGGAGTTGCAACAGCTATTCAGAAACATCAAGCGCTATAAATCTGTACCATTCATTGGCTGTTGCAACTCCAGACAAGTTCACGTCATAAATTTGCGATCGCAACGAGAGTCGCGCAATCGACATTGCGATCATTGTGGAAGAACCTTAAGATACGTACACGAAAAGAATTTTATAGTAAACGTTATTATAGAATTTTATAATCGAGAAATAAGTCAACATTTTGCAGCAATTGATTATTCTTTCATTTCATATGGGCTGTTTAAATTTTAAGAACTGAAATATGCTATTGGAAAGTTTGTTATGTTCTTTAGCAAGATAAGCCTTACTTATAATCTATTCTTGCTTTACTATAAAGATATAGTACCCTCTAAATTTTTCAGAGTGAATTCTCTCTCAAAACGAGTGGAAAGTGGCAGTATTTTCATTCGAAATAATAGTAACGAAAATACTACCACTCAAAATTGCAAAAGTATTTCACTCAAGTATAGAGCCGTATTAATAGTTGTTATTTAAAACTTGTCTCACATGAAATACTCAGATTTAAATTTAGAGTTGAATCTGAACTTTCCAATTAAATCATATAATAGACGTGACATTGGGTTTGCAATTGTAATTTAGCTGAAAAATTCATATCTAACTCTAAATTCAAATTTGAGTATCTCACTTCAAGTAAGTAACGACCATTAACACGACTTCAAATAAGTAACGACTATTAACACAGGTCTTAGAATGGATTCTGACTCTATATGAGCGGATATTTCAATTAATTAAATTGGATACATTCCTATAACAAGGAAATACATCAGATATCGAATGAAAATATTCACTCGACGATTCAGAGTGAAAAATTCACTCTAAGTGAGTGGAAAATCTCTCGAACTCGAGTTACTCAGTGATACTCCAAAATTTAGAGAGTAAAATTGAAGAGAATTTACATGAAAAAAAGAGAACTGTAATATTTTCTCCGTGTAGCTAGTCTCGAGTAGATATATGTCAAGTGTTGTATCACAATGCAAATGCCGGTGTGAAATGCGAAGGACAGATCGAAGAGTTGAACGACAGACTGGAATCGACAAAAACAGAGTGGACGACGGGGCGAGGGTCGAGTGACTCTCTCACGAAATGTTCGATAATGGTGAAACGCCGGTGTTGAAACCACCTTTGGCACTTTGCAATAAGCCAGGAGTGCCTCCGGTCCTTATAGACGTACAAAGACTATGCTAATGATACGAGCGTTGCATTGACGGCTGGGTAAATATAAAGTCGCTGCTTCGAGCCTTGTCGCGAGTTTATCATGTAAACTGCCGTTAATGATTGCCAACCGGCCGTTTCAGCGCTGCCATTTTAGCGGCCAGGCTGAATTTGGCGTCTCTGTTATATCTAATTATTGAAATTATCCGGAAGTACCGGATAGTCGTCGTAATTATCGGATGGTCGTCAGCGCGTGGAGATCCTCTAAAGACTTATTAGCACCGATTTGCTTCTCGGCGCGAATGACAGATGCTCGTCGTGTCTAATTGCGATTTAACGAAGACAATTATATATTTTGCAAGTTACTATTCTCGAGATGCCTGTTTGTCTTTTTCTTCGAACCAGCGATCAAGGTTGAAGATATATTCAAACAAGTCCTGCAGTTTTGCATAGCGAAAATTATCTATATAAGATACAAGAAATTTGCTAAGATAAATAAGTGACTAACAAGCATTGACGATGTCGCATGTTTTGTATTCAATCAATATAGGATGCGGTCTATTAGACATTTTACAAATGCTTTGAAGCGCCGTATGAATCATCATGGTTTTTCTTTAAGCACTTCAAAGCGTCTGCAGCGTTTAATGGATATCATGCCCATACATGATAAAGATAGGATCTATACATGAACTATCTGTAAAATTTAGCAAGAAAATCTTTCTGTGTGGTGCCCATCCAGATTAAGACCAGTCATGGTTCTTACAAAAATAATTGTGGTTGTAAAAAAGACTAGTGACGAAAGATAAATGAATATATAATTCTCATATCCATATCCTAAATTTGCTAGTAGACATTGCTGGAATGCTGCTGCTATAAATTCTACGTACGACAGACAGTTTTCTAGCAGATACAAAAAACAGCGATAAATTCTAATTGTAACATTTATAATTCCATCTGGACCAGTACTTTTTTGAGTGACAGATATAAGAGTTTTTGCCGAGTTGGTTTATTTCAATTTTCATTCAAGGTATATGTATATATATCCAGTGCATAACGTCTGTGACGTCTAGCGTTAGTCGAACACGCCGTAAAACCTTGTTGGAATGTGATCTGTGGGTCGTTACGAGCGCACATAAAAGCCGAAAGTGTGGCGTGTGCCAAAGCACTAGCCCCTCGCCAGATAGACGCACAAATCTCAATGAACGGAGCAGTAAAGTCGTGGAAGGTCACTTCCTTCCTCGACAAATCAATTATACGAAGAATCGATTCAAGATCAGTGCAATGAGTTCATTATAAGAAACGCGACAGATGAATTATGCAGAGAAAATTATGCAGATGAATTACGGAGAAAATTTCACACGCTGAGAGAAATTATCCGATAAAAAATTAATAAACGGATATTTCAGATCAAATTCCGATCAATTTTCGGATACTTCCGATAATGGCATTTTATCCGATAACCCGATCAAAAAACTACGACATTTCTCACCGGATGTTTCTTGATTGGGTACAAAAATCAATCGGAATTTGATCGGAAATATTCATTTGTAAATTTTTTATCGGATAATTTCTCTCAGTGTATACTTCCATTATGTGTCCCAAATTATCATCTTCATTTTCCTCGAATTATACATATTTATGTAGGTTGGATCATTCTTGCATAACTACGGTCGATGCTCGAGTAATTCAACTCGATAGTAGCGTATGACTTGACGCGTATGACTCTATTACGCCACCCGCATGTCGTTGCAGGATCTCGCGTAGCCGATCGTGGTAAAACCAAGTGGGACGCGACATTTTTCCGCGATTACATTTCGCAAGAGAGCCTTTCGCCATTCCGTAATGCAGCGCGGTGCCGCGCTGAATTGATATTCAAATCGCGATGGCTTATTAACGACACGATACAATATCTCATTATTACGATACGCTGAGCATCGGGACAGGCGACTTGCGCCACGCACAGTGTTAACGGCACAGTTTGTGCGAACAGGCAACTGCCGGGCATACACGCGAGAAGGCCCATAAATTCTTGCCACGCGTTCGTCCAATCGCGGCACACAGTCCCAGCGATGAAAAACTTACGGCCAATGGCGGCAGAGAGAATGCTTGCTGGATTGTGCTCGCGAGCGTAACATGCCGCCTCCAGTCGAGCCGAGCGCGTATCGTTGTATATGACGGTATGACCCGCGCGCGCTCATCGTTTTCGCGGTAATGTCGCTCTAGTTGCGCGAACCTTACGAGCGTGTTACGAGCGGAAACCGTGCACTTCATAGGCGCGCACACGCCTCTTAAATATAATAACACGTTCGCCTAGATCTCCCAGTGTACCCGGTAAATCTCACCGGTCTCGACGGCAGTGATAAATAGCGCAGGCCCCGATTACGCTACGCGAGATTTAAAGCGTCGTAGTTTTAATTAACCGTTTACTCGCCTTTCGTTGCGAGGATTAATAATATTGCTCGAAACACGCTCCCCCCCCCCTCACGATGAATTATCGGGGAAAGTTCCCTTTACAAATGATCCAGAGTCTAGTCAATGACGTAAGAGGTACGCCACGAAATGCGTTGGAACGTAATGCGACGGATTCTACGCGAGTACTTTGAGATAAACATTCGTGATTGTCATGACGTGAGACAATCGGTGGTGGAAATTTTATAATTGTCTTAATTATATTTAAAAAGCAAATATGCTGCACTAAATTAATCAGTAAATTATATTATGTAATAATATAAAAATGTTTTTATGTCGATGCAGCAACAAATTTATTTATAAAGATACATAAACAAATTTTCATGTATTTTTTTCTTATATATAGGTCGCTTCCTACAAAATTTTACCAGTCAATCTGTAAAGGTTGCATCTATTATGAGTGATCTACGTGATACTTATATTATTATACATAAGTAAAAATGCGGCAGAAATACATTATTAAAATTTACTCAAAACATTATGTGGTGTAAAGTGTGACAACAAATTTAGCTGTAATTTTAATAAATTTATCGCAGCATCAAAATAATAAAAAATGCACAATATTGTATAAAAAAATTTAATGATTAATTCAACACAATAAATTTGGCTCATAATATAATTAAGATAATTGTAAAATCCACACAATCGATTATTTCACATCGTGATAATCATGAAAGTGTATTTGGTTTTTTCTTCCAACGATTCAATCAAAACT